TACCCGACAAAGAACAAAGCAGCAAAAACCGTCGCTGACAAGCTCTTCAACGATTTTGCACTCAAGGTCGGCTTCCTAACCAGACTACATCATGACATGGGCAAAGAATTTGAGAACAAGCTCATGGCAAGGTTGAAAGAACTTTCAGGTATCCAGGGTTCTCACACGACACCCTACCACCCGCAGGGTAATGGACATGTGGAGAGATTTAACCGTACCCTGTTGTCAATGTTAAGGACCCTGGAGGAGAAGGAGAAGGATGATTGGAAAGAGTCACTGGCAAAAGTTGTCCATGCGTACAACTGTACAAAGAGCAAGGCAACAGGCTACGCCCCATATTACCTCATCTTCGGACGTTCCCCATGGCTGCCCATCAACTTGCTTTTCAATCTGAGAAAAGACGAAGTTCATGTGAACTACGATGACTAAGTTAGCTGCTGGAAAAAAAGAATGCAGGAGGCCTACACAGTAGTTGCTGAAATGGCTATCAAGGAAGCTGCTCGAGGGAAAACATACTACGACAGGAGAGTTAAAGGCAGAGATCTTCAGCCTGGTGACAGAGTTCTCCTCCGAAACCTCACTCCCAGAGGTGGACCCGCAAAGATCCAGTCTTACTGGGAAAACCAGATCTACAAAGTGATGGAGAGAAAACCAGATGACAGCCCAGTGTATCGGATCTGCCCTGAAACTGGTCAGGGAAGAGACAAGGTGGTGCACAGAAATCTCCTACTGCCCTGTGATTTCCTATCCCTTGAAAAGCCACCAGCACAGACAGTTCAGCACCAAAAAGATGCTCTTGTTACAAAGAAAAACATGTGCGAGGCACTCACGGTGAGGGCCTGCAGACTCTTTTCATGTTTGTTTTCAAGCTAAAAGATAGAAGCTAACTATGCAGAGATGCAAGTAGCATCAGTAAAAGCGCATCTGACTTGACTTTAACCTACCTGAAATAGAGTAAATGTGTTATGGAATGAGGCGCTAGTGTAAAACCGAACTGTGGAGCTAAGGGTGGAGCTAAATTTAGCATCAGGCTAGGACAATTGAGCGCACGTGGTTCACGTTCCTGTGTGAGCTTAGTTATTTGGTTGTGATTAAGGTCTGTATTCTCTTTACAGCTATTTTTGTTTTAAAGTTGTTCTAGATTTTCTAGATGTGTTTTGTAATCATCAGAGAAAATGTAAAATGTGTTCTTTTCATTTCCTTAAGGTGAAATATAATAGAAATGTGAAGACATTCAGTTAAAATGGATTTCATTTAAAATACAATTCATAAGTGATTTAAAAGGATTAACAACTGGTTACAATAATGTTTTAGTACTACTGTTTGATTAGTGAGTATCACAGGAAAAATGTTGTTACTTTTATTGTGAAAGTAGAAGAAGTTGACCAGTGTTGGATGAAGCAGTGCAGAGACGAAGCAAGAGTAGCTCCTTTAATCGACTATGTTTTTTCTGTTTTGCAGTTTCATGCAAAATAAATATGTTGCGCCGGAGATGAGTTGGCCCATCATTTCAGCAGTGTAACATTGATGTTTTGAAAACAAGCTCGATTATCTCGTCGCAGTCAGGCAGAACTGATAACTGTCACAACGTCAGTCTATTTAAGTTGCACAATGAACAACGCTTACAAAACATGACTTTAGCTACAATAATAACTCTGAGACACGTAGCTGTTCATCAGAGAATTAATGACAACTGGTATATTTCAAGAAGAAAAATTGGAACATAAAGTTTCGAGCCCAAACAATTTAAGCAAGTCTTTACAATGTTTTGCTTTTGTTTTTGCTTTGACAGTCACATAAAGAATAGATGTTAGAAATAGCTTTAGTTTTTCAGAGTTTCACCTCACAAAAAAACAACTTTAGTAAAAGTAAAATAAAAATGGTTGGATGACTTGTATTTAAAGTTCCTTTATGCCAACTTATAAGTGTTTTATATGGGAAAAACTAAAATTGCAATACTAAATAAAGATGTAAGTAGTGCTGGACAATAATTCGATACTGATATATACTGTATATTGTGATAGAAAACGCCCTGATGCATCTCAGTAATCCAGGCGGAAAAATCTAAAAGAAAAAATAAGTAGGTCCTCTGGACAGGTTCTTCTTTAATGAAACGTTTCGTCTCTCTTCCAAGAGACTTCTTCAGTCTGAGAAGTTTCAGGTGAACTGAATCTTATAAGCACTGCCTCCACATGGTGGACAAAACAGGTTGGTCAAATGCAAAAGAGGACCATCAGCCAAACAATATGTCATTAGTGCCTTGATTGGCTCCATTGTTCATAGAGGGTCATGTGCCCCATCGCCTCACCCATGTCGTGTTATGTGAATGTAGTCAATGCAAGCGGGGGTTCAACGTCCCCTTGCTTTTGTCCCTCTTTCCCTATTTGTGTTGGGTATTGTTGGGGCCCTGATTCACACCTTTTGCTCACAGGGGGCTGAGTCATACTTGCAATAACAGCATTGTAGGAGGAGGACAACTGGACACGAAGGCCTCCACCTCTGTTTAATGGTGGATGGTTTTTCTTCACAAAGATGGCTTCCTTTACTCCTCTCTCAAACCAACGTTCCTCTCTATCAAGGATGAGAACATCTTCATCCCTGAAAGAGTGACCGCTGGCCTGTAGATGAGTGTAAACTACAGAGTCCTGACCCGATGATGTTGCTCGTCTGTGCTGGCTCATTCTTTTGAACAGTGGCTGTTTTGAAAAAGTTTCAATAATGGTTATATGAATTTTAATGTAATTAGATCAATATACATTACATCAGACAGTCTAATGACTTACAACACGGACTCAATGACAGCACTAAGTACTCTGTTTACACTACGCTAACAATGTTAACTACAACACAATGGATATCTGTGCCAAAATGAGCTCAGTAGCAGTGAGTGAACAAGCATCCACAGCTGGAAAAGAAGCAGAAGAAATAATTAAAGGAAAGATTACCGTAATTTAGTGGTGTGAAGGTGGTTCGGGTATTGAAGGTCTGATGAACTAAAATGTGTTAGAGATTCTGGTGCAACTTGCAGCTGGAACACACCAAATCTGTTCCACCACCTGATAAGGCTCCACTTCATAGAATATTCTGAGTGTAGGAAAATGAAGGACCCGAAAAAGTTTAACCCTTCTTCTTAAAACATCGCCATCAGCAGCGGTGTCGAGCAAAGTGAAGCTGATGCAGCAAACACAGATGTGTATGGTGGGCTGTTTTAACACAAAATCGGTTTCATCACACACATTCCAGATGTCTGAAATCAGTTTATGACTAGACATAGTTAATTAAGGGTGTAAGGGTGTGTTTCTTCTGTAGCAGATGAGTCATGTGGGCATCTGTCCAAATATCAAGGTGGCACAGTGTCTCCTCATTGCTCCAGGTCTGTCTACATCTCATTGTAGCATCCATGTAGTGGTAGCAACACTAAAGGGCTCATTTTTAGCATGATGCTTTGCAATGATGGCCCATGAAGTCCAAAAAGGCGTATGTTTCCTGCAGTTGGTTCGGCTTGAGACCAGTCTGGATTCATATCAGAAGAGAACCACGGCAGAGTTTGTTTGGAAGTGGACTGAGACCACCTGAAAAATGGGTCTTGGTTCGGTTGTTTGATCTGTACCAGGGTTTACTTAAGTGCATTCAAAAAATAAGGACCAACAAGGGAAACAAACTGGTTTGTTTAAAGTAGACCAAATGTGCTAGGCGTGAATACATCCTAAGATAATCTCTAATTATATTTTGACTAAGCAAAATACCTATTTGAGATGTATCTGATTACATTCTGACTAAATGATTGTCAGGTGAACCAGAATGGAGGCTCCAATTCAAGATGTCTGCAGGAAATTACTGACTATCTGAAACATATATTTCAGATATCAATAATTAAATTATGACTATTCACATTCTAATTAAGGATATCTTAAATAGCATCCGATTTGTAGGTACAGTGAATATTGGTGTTCTTGGGAGTTTTTCTGACATTTTTTATTATTCATATCGATATTAGAATTACACACAAACAGTTTATTCATCTTGTAAAAATTGAGCTTACTTTGCGAGCAGCACGTTGGAGTGATGTTGCACATTTAAAGTTGTCTCTGTTAGATAGTTTTCTCTTGTATCATTTGACCTCATAACTTGTTTTAGCCTCGTATTTAGTTATAATAACCAAATGCAACTTGTACGTTCTCCATGAGAGATTTGAGAGCAGTCAATAATTCACAGACATAATGAAACGCTCACAGTCTCCAGCTCCATGCTGCCTGCTCTGTGTCTTTTAAAAGACAGAGTGGCCCTACAAACTGCTAACCTGTGCCCTAGAACCAGCCGGGTGGAAAGATAAGTGAAGGAAGTTATTAGTGGTTTCACATGTCAGTGATTTTTAAGGCCACCTTGAAGTGAAGACAGCCTGATATGCAGGCTATAAGGGGCTGAGATTTGTAACTCTTGGACAACAGGAGTAAGATGCTGGAGCTTAGCCCTGCTTGAGATATCTGTTGTGTAACTCTTTGAAAATTTGAATTTCTAAGTGCTTATTACAGTTGAAAACATGTAAGTTTAAGAGTCAAGGTGTTGCAGTAAGGGAAAAGGTTATTCGTTTCTATACAATCTGCTGCTGGGCGTCTATCTCTCCTTTTCAGTGCTATTTTTCTGTCTATTGATTTTTACTTTTCTCCCAACATTCAGCAAACCTTTATCCTTTTTCTTCCCTGTTGCTTCTGTCATTTCTTTTCATAAGACTCTGTGAGAAGAATTACGTGTTTGAGGCTTGAACAAATGAGCTGGGCTCTCAGTAGAACATGGTGAACGGCTCATCTATAATGGTAGAAGAAAATCTCGGGTGTTTCTGCTAAATCTGCAGTCCATTTACCTGCAGACAGTGCGCCTTAGCTGATTCAGGTGAAATTGGAATTTTGCAAACCGATGTGTTGTACAAAGCAAGAATAGTCCAATACCAAAAAAGATGTGTATTTGAGTGTAAATGTCTGTCTTTTCTTTGTCCTGTGCAGGTAATTGGCCAGCTTCTGTGGGATTTGATGTCACCTTTAGACGGTTTTAACTGAAGATGGAAACACTGGAGTCAGAGCTGACCTGCCCGATCTGCCTGGAGTTGTTTGAAGATCCTTTGCTCTTGCCCTGCGCTCACAGCCTCTGCTTTAACTGTGCCCACCGCATCCTGGTATCCCACTGCTCCACCAGCAAGCCCCTTGAGTCCATATCAGCCTTTCAGTGCCCCACCTGTCGTTACGTCATCACGCTGAATCACCGCGGCCTGGAGGGCCTCAAGCGCAATGTGACGTTGCAGAACATCATTGACCGCTTCCAAAAGGCCTCCCTTAGCAGCCCCAACTCCCCCACAGAGAGCAGGCGCATGCAGACGCAGCATCCCTACACCGCCACCATTAGTGGCACAATAGCCGGAACGATCGGCGGCGGCGGCGGCGGTGGTGGCAGTGGTGGGACGGGAAGTGCGCGTAGCAGCCCAGCCACTTCCAGCCACTCCCACCCGCACGCCAACCACACTAACCACGTCAACCACAACAACGCCAACCACAGCCCGGCGGTCGTGGCGAAGATGGACCTGCGGATCAGCTGCCAGTTCTGTGAGCAAGATCCGCCGCGTGAGGCCGTCAAAACGTGCGTCACATGCGAGGTGTCGTACTGCGACCGGTGCCTGCGTGCGACGCACCCGAACAAGAAGCCCTTCACCAGCCACCGTCTGGTGGAGCCAGTGCCAGACACTCACATCCGGGGCCTGACCTGTCTGGAGCATGAGAACGAGAAGGTCAACATGTACTGCCTGGTGGATGATCAGCTCATCTGTGCCCTCTGCAAGCTGGTGGGGCGCCACCGGGAGCACCAGGTGTCCTCACTCACCGAGCGCTTTGACAAGCTCAAGGTCAGTTCGATATTCTTGTGTTTCTATCATCCACAGTTAGGTCATCAGCAACACTGCTCTTTTTTGTGTGATTAACTTCTGTGTCAGAACTGTACGGTGAGTCACAATTTTCAGCCTGTTGGGTGTTAATAATAATTGCCTAAAATCTGATGCAGGTAACACACTAATTCATAAAAGAGTTTACAGGAGACATTGTACAGAGTTATAGATGCATGACTATGAATATACTATTTTCTTTCCAAGCTCTTTTTTTCATGACGCTCGGCTCTCTTGCTTTTATTGTTTTTCTTCCGTTTGAAGATTATTTTCTTGCCAACACAGCTCTGCAACTCTGGCCTCTTAGTTACAATAGCCTTCCATTTGTAGAGCGCTGGGTATTTTAAAACTATTATTTATTTCTAAGCTTTAAGGTTGTTTTTGTTGTTGTTTTCACATAATAATATTAATAGCTTTGCCCATCTCTGCATGTCTTGATTGCAGTTATTAAAATATGAACCATTGGACAAATTTTATTGAAACTTTCTGACAGCAAACACTGGATATACTGTATATTTTCTACTGGTGAACTTATAAAGTTAACCCAATTTTGTTTATTAATTAAATAAAAAATGTTATTTAACCAGGAAAATCTCATTGAGAGCACAGATCTCTTTTGCAAGGGAGGCCTGGGCATGAAAGCAACCTAACATGCATTTTTTGGGGGGTCTGTGGGAGGCAACTGGAGAAACCCCACACAAGCATGAAAAGAACATGCAAACATCCGAACCAGTGCACAAAACCAGGACTTTCTTGCTGTGAGGCATCGGTGCTAACCACTGAGTCGTCATCATGCCAGATTTAAGATGGCCGCCACTGCTAACTGACCCTAGCCAACACAAAAAATGGCTGTACCTTGGTCGGCTTTATGGATATTGAGCTAAAATCTGGTGTGGTATTGGCTGTAAACCATCCACAAATCATACTACAATAGAGTGACATCCTATAATATCATATGAGATTGTGAAAAAACATTTTCAGTATTTGACCAAAATGGTCATAACATTATCATTTCTCTACATGAGATGATTTGAATTTAAATGAGATGCATTCCATTATGGTAGGACTTTGATTTATAAATGATCTAGATTGCAGTCAGTGTTGTTTCTTTCTGTCCAGTTTCTAAACCATGAAACTTAAAGCCGGTCTATTTCTGCCTTGGGACTGTGTATTTTTGTTTGCTGTAAATGTTGGGCGTGAAAAAGATTGCATTATGTATTCCAGCTTTTGTCGAGTAAGAAGAGCAGAAAGACAGATCCCAAACAGAAAGAGAAACGAGGGAATGGGATTGATTCGCTGGTGAGAGGGCAGAGAGAAATGGAGACCAATACAGAGAACTGTCATTATAGCAGCCCTGGAATTGGCATTCCCTGTGGCAACTGAGCTTTCAGAAGCTCGGCGTTAAAGCGCGGGACTGCTGAATCAGGTCGACAAACAACAGAGACCAGGCAGTCGCTAAAGCTAATCCCACAACTAAAGGCCTGAAGCAGTGAGCTGGTGCCAATCAGCTTTTATCTTAAATATTTGTGGAACGCATGTACACATATTGTATGTATGACAGTCTTTGTGTTTGGCATCTGTAAAAAACACTTGGTTTTAATCTGATTAAAGTTCAAATCTATATTTTTAGGGAGATTCAAGAAAAGTGGTTTACAAAAGCTTCAAAACGAAACACAGAAGATTCAGAGTAACATTCATATAGGATTTTTGTGAATGTACAGGAAAAACATTAGAGCAAATACAGAGATTAAAACTGATTAACATATGTTATCCTAAATGGAGTGAGCTAAGCCTCAGTGCGTGTTATCTATAGAGCTGATGAGTCAGATAATATGGAGCTCAGTCAGTGGGTTGATTCATACAGTGACCTCAAAAATGTGATCTCTGGAAGATTAAAAGGCAGCATTAATGCCTGTGATCATCACTATCACTGGGTTAATATGTTATCACACAGTAACATAAATTAAAGTAAAAGCAGCAAAAAAAATCTGAAGAAAAACTGAAATGATCAGATTGTATCTGTGTCAGTTGAAAGAAAAGTTCACATCTGGAAAAGTTGAGAACATTTAATATCTAATATATATTTTGTAAATAGCCTCTTCAACAGCCTCAAGCTGAATAAATACATGTAAATGCTGACTAGATTGTTGTGCTAACAGCTAATCAGGGCTGACCAAAGTGGATTTTTGTGATCTAAAAACAACTCTAATTTTAAACATTTTGCAGCAGTACAGGCAAATACTGTCTTATGAAACATTTTACCACTCTCCGTTTCATATTACAGGGATATTCTGGAAAAAATAATCTGTTATTCCTGCAGCAATTGTGCCAGACTGCACAGAATTGTTACAGCTAGCTGCTGCTGCCAGTATTTTGCACTACAAAAAAACCCACCGAGTTTTATGTAAATAGCTGATTTGTGAATTTTTTTTTAATTGTAAATGGTTTATAATATATAATTCACATCAAAACTAATAAAACTTTTTTTTATTTATACAGATCTAGAAGCAGTGTATTCTTTTTTAGCCCACATACAGATGGCATTTTCACGCAGTTAACACGCAGAGGGCCTTGAGTTACACACGTGGTGTGAGATAATAGTTATTCATGAACTTTCTTAAATTAGCAATAATTTAGCATAAATTGTAAAAGTGACAAAGTCGCTGTACTTATATTAAAACAACAGCCTCTTGATGTTGTATATGATTACTTTTTCTTAAAGATATTAACATCATTAACCGTAAATCTTACATTTGTTTGCTAAGACTGGTGAGTTTTTTTCAAGTGCTACATTGTTGCAGTGGTTTGATTTTCAAATTAGGAGGATTGTGTCCTCTGTGTGGTTTTGTTCTGCTTCACTGAGAAAAACAGAGATTTTTTTTTTATAATGGTCTCACATTTGATCTGTGTGCCTTTCTCCAGTATAAAAGGGTGGGTGGAGGATTATGATAGCAGTGTAGCTTTTTGGTATTGTTAACAGTCCAACAGAAAGCCATCTCATTGCAACTCCGAAGCGAACACAGCAGCTGTAATGTTCTCGATTGCTTCGGAGCGTCCTTTTCATTTCAGCGGGGGAAAAAATGCAGTCCTGCATTTTGCATTATTGATGATTTGTGCTACCAAAACTGTGGCTGTCACCTTCGCTTATGCTCCTCCGTGTCAGCAAAAATCCTGTTCAACACCTCTCGCTGAGTGAACCCACGTGGGCGAAGGATTTATTTTCAGTGATGTTAGCCACCTCATTCTCCTCAGGCCTTGGGAGGGCTTACGGTAAGTTGTTTGCACTTCCCTCATTTCCTTCCCACTTCATTGGCTGGCTGTGGTTCTTTTGAACGTTGCCCAGCCAAGGCTTTGAACTTTTCTGACTTTGAATCTGCCCCAAATCTAGGAGGAGAACAACCCAATTCCAGGCTCTAGTTAACTCACCAGTGGCAGTTGTGTCTAATTTAAATCTTCTCTCACACAGAGTAATTCTGTGTGTGTGTGTGCATGTGTGTATCTTCCACGGCTTCCTTTTCCTTGCCTATTTAAAATTCACTAAAACATTAAAGATTAAAGTTTTGTAACAGTAGTTCTCTGAAATCCCTTTGTAAGCTTTTCAAGATAATCATTACTGCGTATCAATAAATAATGATATTCAGTTGCCTTTTTGACCTCTGACACACTCTGCTTAATCTTTGACACCATCGTCACCTTCCACATTTTATCCTCTTTGTTTGTTGAGTACCCTTTCAGCTACTCTGTCACTATAATTACAGTCAAATTATTGCAGAAGGTAAACAGCCCTTGGGCAAAAACTAGATGTTTCTGCAGCAAAAATGTCAACCAGTGTTATGTGAAAGGAATTCATCAGAAATTTTGAAGTGGAAGGATTATTCCCAACCTGTTGTTGACCTCCTTGAACAGTTTGTAAAAATAGGGATTCATTTAGTCCAGATTGACTTGTAAACAGCTATTTTAAGCTCTAATTGTTAAAGATATTTTTATTTAGTGGACCGCTATTTTATAAATTTTTCATAACTTTACACTTTATGTTTAAGATCTCAGCATTCCACTTTGGCTATGCTCAGATTCGCCTCTGGCTTGTCAATTTGGTCAGAACTAAGCTCAGTTTCTCCAAACAGAGGATGTTCAAAGAGCTATCTACAATAGGTAGGATATTAATTGTTTACAACCTTAACACAGAATCCCTAATCAAAAGATCTGATCTACCCCTTCAAAGGCAGAACATAGCACAACTCAAACTGTAAGTTGGGTTATTTCCACAGAGAACTGCTTTACTCAGGCAAGGAAGTTGGTATCTTGTGTTTCAAAGACATCAGTAGTGTTTTTGTTCTTTTAGTAAGTTTCAAAGAAAGCAGCTCAAACTCAATCTAAGACTTTTAATTTTTACATAACTAGGTTCACTAAACTCACTCCTGCTAAAGACACTTTTTATTGCACAAGTGAATATCTTATCATTGCTGCTTTAGAGCCTCATTAAAATGTAATTTAGAGAAATTTTAGGGGCAGTTTAATGTCCTTTTTTTAAGGCTGAGTACACAAAATCAAGAAGCTGAAATGTGTGCCAGTTTAACAGCCTTAATAAATGCAACACTGCAGGTGAAATATACACTGGCTGTGGAATGTTGAGGCAGCAGCACAGCTACAAGTGGGCAGTCTTTTTTTAATCGGGTTGAGCCCAAAAGTGAATCAATTCTCAATGTAATTACAGCGATTTCTGGAAGTTTCTCTATCATATATTTTGTTTTTCATTAAAATTTTGTTTTTTTCGAGACAAAGTTTATTCCAATAGGTAATGGCAACGTTTTCACCTAAGAATTTTTGTGTTCAGTTCACTCATTTTCACAGAGGGCCAAACAAATTATGGTTGCAGCAAACTTTGAAGTTTTGTGTTTAACTTCGTACTAAACAAGATGTGTCACGTTCCTCGTCTTATTACTATGACTAAGCACTGCTAACAA